TAAGGGACAGGTAATGTTTGAATATGCTGGATGTCTGACTGTGCCATTAACAAAAGGAATTCAGGGGGAAATGATACATTATCAGATGCATCACTTCTTCTTTCAGAATTGTTCATTTCTTTCTTTAGGCATGAAGCATTAAACTGATTAAATGAAAATAGGTATATGTGATTTCAACTCTTTGATGGATTTAGAAAGTAGACTCCAAGAAAAGAAGCTTCGTGTCTGTACTTTATACTTCTGTCTGCAAGTTTAAATGTGATCATGTGCCAAAAAGAAAAATAAAGAGGTGTATGATCTACAGGGACATGTACAATGAATGGACTGTCGAGCTGAAGGCGATGGCAGACCGAATTATCAGCATGCGGCAGCAACTTTTTGATGCTCTACGTGCTAGAGGTAAGCTTTTTACTAGTTCTCTTGAGCTTTTCTGTATCCCTTTATGACAAGGCCTTAAGGATGAGGAGAGATCTCCAACAAGGACAATTTGGGCGTGCACTGACTCAATGGTAACTTAAATACACGGAGAAGATTCCTATTCATCCCTAAAATTTAGGGGACCTAATTGATATTTTGTACACGAGTTGCACCCCTTTGGTGCTATGTGATTACATATTTTTTATTCTAAAAGAAGGCTCTAACAATACTGAGATATTCTTGCCACTGAATGCATCTCATCTTGCTAAATGGCAGGTACACCTGGTGAGTGGACTCACATTATCAAGCAGATTGGAATGTTCACTTTCACTGGATTGAACTCAAAGCAAGTTGCCTTCATGACTAAAGAGTACCACATCTACATGACTTCTGATGGGTAATCACTATTTATTTTTTCTGAACTAAACACAATCTATTCACATACAAATTGGATGTGTTTGGCATCATTTGCACATCTAATTTTGGTTGCTAAACCATAATTGTGAACATCTGGTCTTTATGGTGTTGAAGGTTCTAGCAGCACTTGTACCCATGTGTATAATTTGAGAAGTTGAGTCATTTTAACATGAACTTTAGCATCCAGGAAGTTCATCTCTGAACCCTTCCTAATCTCGGGTTTTGGGTTACTGTGTTGCCAGGCATATAAGTGCCTGGTCTAAAGTAGATTCTTCTTCTTGCATTTTCCTGGCATATAATTTGAGTGGGGGAAACAATTTTTGGTTACATGCATTTAATGAGTTCATGAGCAGAAAACAGAATTCATGGTGATACTGGGTCGCCAAAGAATGCATGTGTGGGTAGTTGTTTCTTAAGCAAAACAAGTGTACTACTTTTTGTTTCTGATTGTGCAGGAGGATCAGCATGGCTGGTCTCAGCTCAAAGAGAGTCCCGCATCTTGCAGATGCAATACATGCAGCTGTTACTCGTGCTTAAATTAAATCTACCACAATTATGGATTGTTTCTCAGACAAATTTCTTTTTCTACTCATTTTAACCTTTTTTATTGGGGGAAATGTTTTTTTTTTTTTTTCAATTTTCTGTAATAATGTCCCCCCAAAGGGGAATGTATTACTTTCTGTTGGGGCTAATTGGAGAAAGAATCTGTAACTGAGAATTTTGGAAGTTACTCATTTTCCCTACTCCTTACTACCTCACTTGCTCTCGAGCAATATCAAGGGTACAAAATAAAAAGGAAATTACCTGATTATTATTATCATTTTTCTTATATGAAACATATAAAGCCTTGACGTCGTCGAGGTTGTCATAGTAGCAGCTTTTGTTAATTTAGATTAATTACTGTACTGTGGTTATCTAAGAGGATGGTCTTCCAAAATTTATAGAATCAAGAGGATGGCCTTCCAAAATCTTTAGAACCAAATGAAACTCAGAATGGTTATGTTTGATAGTGATTAGTAAGTAATTTAAGATCTTTTAATTTTTGAAAGTATCCATTAATAGACTTAGAGACGCCATAAAGTATGAACTTTAGATGGAAAAGATGGACATGAGGCTAGCTATAGTTATGAAATAGTTTGTCAATGGCAATTCATGCTTAGTAAGGAGCAAGAGAGAAGTTGAGTCTGAGTAAACTGAGAACCGAGGCAGCAAGTTGCTTTTGTTGTGTGACATTTAGATTGTTAATCTCCTTCTATCCATTGTAATCTTTAATGGTAACGTGTGAGAGGGTGTAAATATTCTCGGAATCTTAGTAAGAGAAGCAATTTATAAACCGGGTTGATTGTAAAGCGAAAGAAGAATGAGTGATTTTGGTCGAGCAGCCATGGAAGAAGGAGAAGAAGATTAAGCGATAGCCATCGAGGAGGATGAGCCAAGGGTTAAACTCAAGTTGAAGGAGAGAAGAATATTAAAGACAGTAAGATAAAAAAAAATATATATAATATATATATATATATATAGAGAGAGAGAGAGAGATCGTCTTCGCGCAAAGAAAAAAAAGATGGGGATAGAATTGATATAACATTAATATTGGAAGTGGATAAACAGCCAAAAAAGAAAAGAAAATAAGTATAATAAATATAAAACTCCTAGTATACTTACAGTAGTAACGTCATAAGATATTGGATATAAGTGAATGTTTTTTTCTAAAAGATTATTTCTTTAAAAATCTCATCCAAAATGATTAAAACCAATATTTGAAAATTTTAAGTGAATTTGTAATTAACATTTAAAACTCCATAATTTTGGATAAATGTAAAATATATTATATGAAGTCCATTAAAATTTTTATAGAAGGTCAATCTTCATCTTTTTTTTTTCTAATAAGATGTTTATCAAGGCAATATTCGCATTAAATCAGGAATTTTTGTACAATTTATGTGAAAAGTCACACTATTTAATTAACGGATGGTGAAAATTACATCTAAAAAATTAAAAAGAATTGTGAGAAATTAATAAATTAATATTGAAATTTAACAGAAATTATAATTTGTTGTTTAATTTGCATCTAAAAATCTCTAAAAAATCAATTGTTATCATTTTCTAATATTACTTTTTTATTCCTGGTTTGTTCTAAATGACTTCAGGGATTTTAATTAGGAGATTGTGAAAATTCTACTAGAATGTGATAAAACTTTTAGGTCCTATAAAAGTTTTAAGTGGATAAAAAACAACTAACTTTTGACAAAATCCGAAATATTTTTTTTATTCTACTAAATTTTTCCGTCTGGGTGTACAATTTCAGTTCCGAAAGAAAGATTTCTAAATCCTTCTTGTTAGACTACGTATAAATTTGTAATCAATTTCATAAAATTTCTTAACTTATTACAAACCTATATAGGTGTAGACTTTCAATTGAATTCTACAGATCTAGTTCATTCGGCTTGGTATGAGAGAAAATCATTCAGCTTGGTGCCATCGGACTGCTCTGAGAGGTTCCTTTACCAAAAATAATTTAAAAAAGAAAAAACTGTTATTGGGAGAGAAGTTGGAAGAAGGAAAACATTTACAACACAAGATGATACATTCTTCTTTAATATGAACACAGGAGGAAAAGCTTTAATACACCTTGACAATGTTTGATTAAATTGAATCCAAGGTACGGTGACAAATGGATAACCCATTTTAGGGGAGCAAAAAATTGATATAAGCAAGCATATATATATATATATATAGAATTATAAACTACAAAATATGACAAGTCATAAGAAAACCATTATCTGCAACCTTTCAACAGATAAGATGAGGGACTTGAGAAGCTCATTGAATTTGAGGATTTTCTACTTTCTGTTCCCTTCCCAGGTGTTCCGCAATCGCTGAAGTCGAGAGTCCGACGTTCGGGCTACAAAAGGTTTCACAAAACAAATATTTTAATCTCATTTCTTAACTTAACCCAGGCATCATATATAAAAGAACTGTGAGAGTAAGTAATTTTCGTCCTGTTGGAAGAGAAGTTAGGAGGAGGCTTGGGTTTTAAAAGCACTAGAAGAGGAAGCTAACAAGTAACCATTATAGGTATTATGTATAACAAACCAAACTGAAAAAATGAGCTGAAAATTGAACCTGAATTAGGCTAAAAATCAATCTAATTAATATTCAAAAGGGAAATTGAAACCGAATTTATTTTAGTCAGTCTAAAACCAATTTAATTAATTAAAATAATGTAAACTAGTAAAAATAAACTAAATGTGACTAAGATAAAATAGATAAATCAATATTAAAAACTAAACCTAGCCATTTATTTATAATTTTTACTTATACTTTTAGATAGTTTATAAATTTTATGGATTATACCCCTAATGTTTTAGCAACTTCTAAATATACCCTCAAAAGTTCAGTTTATATGTTAAACCAATTTTTCTGTGGCGAAAATCAAACTGAAAACTAAACTTCTTTGATAAAAAAAACTCAAAAGGAAACCTGGTTCTGGCTTTCTTAATTTACAAAACCATAATCAAAACAGAAATCAAACAAACTGCATGACTTAACCAGCCACCAGCAAAGTTTAGGCCGGAACCAAAGTTGTGTTAGTCTCAGGTAGGTTAATTTGCTAAGGACACGGAGCGGAAAAGAACCTGACCTCTAATATGGCAGGGAGAGGTATTGGTATACAAGGGAGAAGTGATGAGAAAAAGGGACAGGAGTATAGCAGTTACAAAGTGGCACATAAGACATACCAAAGCACTTGCAGCGGCTGAATCCGATCTGTTCTCCAAACGAGGTGCATGATTGTTATCTTTATCCATGTTACAATTGTGGGAGTATTTCTCCTTTAGTAATGTTTCAGGAGTTTCATTTCCCAAGACCTCTAAGGCATCAGCATAAGCAGAGGCAGTGTGCTCACTCAACTGTTTCATCAACCCTATGGCATCGTAGCTTCTGTCCCCTGGGCTCATAAAAAACCCAATATCCTGACCACAAAAACATACAAGGGAAAAATAAATTCAAGTATTTGGAATATGGCTCGAGAATAGATTCAGAGTAGTTGATACATGAAGAAAATTTTTACGGTTAATTTTATGTCTCATATATTTATTCATAAAAACACAAGTGGCTGAGAATGAAAACTATAAAATGTTTCATGTACTAAAAGATGCAGTAGCCTATTTCATCAACTGTTTCATCAAACCTATGGCATCATAGCCTCTGTCCCCTGGGCTCATAAAAAACCCAATATCCTGAACCACAAAAACATATAAGGGAAAAATAAATTCAAGTATTTAGAATATGGCTTGAGAATAGATTCTGGGTAGTTGATACATGAAGATATTTTAAGGTTAATTTTACGTCTCATATACTTATTCATAAAAACACTAGTGACTAAAAATGAAAACTATAAAATGTTTCATCTACTAAAAGAAGCAGTAGCCTATTAGAAGGGATCATACCTCAATTGTAATTTCTGTATTTATCTTAGGGCCAGGTACAAAAGAATTTAGGAACCAAGGGGATTTCCATGCAGAGGGGGACTCGATACTTCTTCTGAATGGAGTTCCACCAAATCTGGAAACAAACACCATTAGCCAAGCAATTCATTAAAAGCAGTTATGGCCTCAGATTTAGAAAGAATAAACAAGGTCCCTTGACATTGAAAATTATGAGCTATGAAGAATGAAAGAGAAACCAGGTGAATCTTACATGCTAAGGTTTTCAATAGCACCATCACTCGCTACATTATCAACTCTAATCTCCAGGGATGTTGATGAAGGAACAAATTGAGTTGAACTATCCACAACCAGGTGATTATCACTGTTCTTTGTGAAGAGAGTAGGAGAGTTAAGAGCTAAGCATTGATTTCCAGATGAAGATTCTGATGGGACAGCCTGATTTGATGCAGCAACCAAGCTTCTGCGACACTGACTTCTTGGGGTTGGAGTGCTGGAAAGTAATTCTCTGAATGCTTTGGAACTGACTTGATCAGGAGAAAATAATAGCAAATCATTGAGATTATGCTCAATAAGAATTCCAGAAAGGTGTTGATCCTGAGAGAGAGATCGAGAGAATGAGATTAAAACAGGTAAAACATTGATTCCAACAATAGAACGTGTGTATACATTAAGCAACAAAAGAACAAAAGAGAAAACACAGGATATACATGGTGATAAATAAAATGGATGCAAACTTCAGATCTGGATATCAAATTCAGCAAGTAAATTGAAATAGAAACTAGTTGAATAATTATAGGAACACTAGAAACATGTAAAATCAGCGACACCAAATTAATAACATTTTGATCACAGTTGGAGAAAATATTGAAAAGTAAACTTAGTATCCCACTTAAATAGAAACTACACAGCTAGTTAGTATTATTTGCATGAAATCAAAACTTAAAAGGGAATAGAATCAGCAGCAGTGATTTAACTGTTCAAACTTGCAACTAAAAAAGAAAGGAAACAAAGAGCTCACAGTTTGGATTACAGGATGAACAACACCCTTTCCCTTAGCATCAGTTCCAACTGTTACTGGAATTATCTTATCCTGGGAATTATTATCACCTAGAGTTTCCACCAGAACTTTTTCGTTTGATAACAAAGTGTCATCTCTTTGATTTACTTGTTGCTCACCATCAGAAACAAGACCAAGATTTTCCTTGCCTTTAACACATGGTCCAGAACTAACTCTTTGCTTAGGTGACAGAGACAGCAGAGATGACTTCTGATGATTCCCACTTGCATCAAACATGACATCCAAACGTGAGAAGTCTTTGCTTAAACTAGAACTCATATCTGTTTCAAGCTTTTTGTCAATCCTTCGTTCAGACAATGGTGACAGTAAGTCACGATTACGCTTTTTTAAAATGGACGGTGTGCCAGTGAAAGTTTTGGCAGCACTTTTCAGCACAGCATCAGGACTACCATCTCGAGATGGCGAATCCCACAATCTAAATGGAGTCATGCAGTTTATGGAAGGTATCATCAGTTGGCGGATACCAAGAGGGCTGTATTCTTGCTGCATATCACTGCTAGATTGTATAAGATCACAGCTGAAAAATGGAACATCCAAGCTGGGAAAACGGGGAGGCTCATAACATAGAGCTCCTGTGTTCTGCTGCTCTGTTTGCACATTTAGCTTATCTTCAATAGGTGGAGAATGTTGCACATCTAATCTAGAAGCAAAAGTATTCACTGGAACTAACTTCAAAGAATCCTTGGCAAGATATGGTTGCTCTTGAAGACATGAGTTACCAGTAACATCATCACATGGGGAATTGGCAGAGTCATTGGTATAGATAAAGCCATCATTTGCACTTGTATCAAATTCTGGGTCTTGAACCTCAAAATGGTGACAATTTAACTGACTGGGTTCTCTACTATATATAACTGTACCATCATGAGCTGAAAATTGGGGAGGAACAGATGTAATATTTCGACTGCATGAGGTTATCATTATATCAGACCTTGAAGGACAAGATGGTGAACCTGAATTTCTGACAGTTTCAGGCATCTGGATGTCTGAACACCCACAAAGCAGTGAATTCTTGCATTCTCCCATATCAACCATATTTGAACCTTGTGTAAATGCTCCAGGAAGATAATATCCCTCATTCATTGCCTCAGAAAACAAGACCCTACAACATTCATCATCAGATATCAACATATGTGCTGGTTTCTCAGAGCCAGCAGAAGCTCCTAACCCTACTGGTTCTTGAAATGAAACATTTCGAATTTCTTGGCTTTCATTAGCATTGATACAATGAGTTGGCAATCCTGATGGTTCATGCCCCAACTCCAGCGAAGCAATATTAGGTAGGTCCTGTAAATTAAATTGGTAATCCTGGCTTCCAGAAATTGCAACATCATGAGAAAAATTTTGATCAGGGAATTTTGAAGAGTACACCATGTCACATGTTATTTCTGGGATAGAGAATGTAACATCTTCCAAAGAAGTATAATAGTGTTCTGAACAAGATGCTGCACCAGGGCTTTGCTCCTTTTTCCCACAGGAAATTTCTGGCACCTGGAATTGCTCTCTTGGAAGCACAATTGCATTAGGCAGCTCACTAGTTGACTGAGAGCAACCAACTGCAGTTGAAGCTTGGCTGCATTCTGACTCATCTTCTGCGTCTGCTGCACCTTTGGGACCACTATCTTCTCCACTGCTCTGCACCCTTGAAGAAGATGAAAGCATGGGCTTATGTTGGTGTCCAACAAGAGGCAGGGTTTGGTACTGATCTAAGAGACCAGATGCCAAGTAGGAGTCCATCTTCTTTTTGACAGAACTGTTCCAATGATTTTTTATAGCATTGTCTGTCCTGTTGATGACAACAGCAGAGATATCTCATCATTCATTGAAATTAAGTATTATCTTCAAAATTTTTAATATTGGCTATCAGTTGCACTAACTCACATTGGACATTTCCTCAAAAAACATAATAAGAAAAAAATTACACTGGATATACCAACCATCCTTTAGCTGGATGGATGGCTGGTACTTTCACTCCCCTCTATGAGTTTGGGGATTCGAATCAAGCCGTGCATGCTATGTATATCCTCGTTAAGAAATTGATTATGTTGTTTTCTTATTGGAAAGTCCATTGTATTATTATTACTGTGTAAGTATATTTAATTATTGAAATGTATAAATTTTTATTCAAAAGAATATAAACTAATATAAATAAACAAATACAGAACATTTCAACAAGAAAAAAAAAAGCAGATACGAGGAAATAAATGAAAATAATCTATTAAAAAAACAAGCAAAAGGACATATAAAATATGTATGATATGATTTTTTATAAAAAATTATCTCTGAAAATTGACATCTGTTCTTCGCATAATAAATGGGGCATACCTTCCAGGCAAAAACTTTGTTAGCTCCGCCCATCTGTTTCCATAAATTTGATGAGCACGGATCAGAGTCAACTCCTCATCCTGAGTCCATGCCTCTTTATTTATAGCAGGATTTAGATGATTATGCCATCTGCATCAATAACTATCTATGTGAATTCAAATGCAAAATACAGTTACAAATGCAAGAAAGCAAGAACCACCAGCTTTGTTATTGCACCTTTCCCTACATTGCTTCCCGATACGCCCAGGTAAATGCTGAGCGATAGTGGACCACTTTTTAGGCCCATATTTGTTCACCAAATCAATTATTATTTCATCTTCCTGTTCACATTTCGAAATATAGCAGTTTCTTGTTAGATTAAATACAATGGAAATAACATTCATATAGCACAACCAATTCAGAAGCTGGCTATGTCAATTCAGGGAATGAATAGACATGAAGACAAGAAACAAATATTATTAATCACCTCTTTTGACCATGGACCTTTGACGAGTTCTGGATTCAAGACCTTTTGCCATCTATGGAGGCACTGTACATCAGTCCGATCCTTGAAGCATTCCGCTGGAAGTGGTCCAATTACAATCAGACCATATGTTTACAATGCTAATTCATAATGAGAAATGAAGCCACCAGTTTAAGTACTACTTTGTGCTTGAAAAATAGTGGCTGTAAAATATTCATGGAATGCAGTGACTTTAATAATAGGACCATCACTAGCTAAAATGGAAAGAAAAAAAAAAAACTTTGGAAGGCACTGAGGGGGTGCCAAATACAAATGTTTCATTGTGGAGAAGAAGAAATCAGTGACCTCTAGAAAATTCTCTTGCTCTATACCAACTCACCCATCTGCCTAAAAGAGTATGTGTGACTACACATCTACCTCTGTACACAAGGCAAAACCTTCATTCCCTAAAAAGTTTTTCTACCTTTCTTTTCAAATTACCCGAAAGAATCAATAATGACTATTTACGAAGATTTTAAAAGCTAAATTAAGGACCTTACTTACAAGAAAATCAAATAAAATGGAAAGAGTGACAAATGTGGAATTTCATAATTAAAGAAACATAAACATTGATAAAGAAATAAGTACAATCAAAGATCTAAACTAGTGTTATTCCATAATTTGGTGGTACAGAAAGAAGATAATTATACTAAAAGCATACCTATCTTTTTCCAGTTCTTTCCTTTGAAACGCTGAACTGCCTTTCGCAAGATCTCATCCTAAGTAAATGTTCATCCACCAAAAATTAGCAAAAAGGAATATGCAGGAATATGCCGATATTCACCAATGTGAAGAAAACGTTATCATACAACAGAAGGAAATATCTAACCGAACTACTATTGCATCAAGGTTCCTTAGAATTGGGTTGAGATGTTGTAACTACGACTATGGAGATAATAAAAATATAAAAATTATAAACAGAAGATCCACCTCCTCAGCTGTCCATTGTCCCTTAGTAGAACGTCTTGTTGGGCCACTAGTTCTCCTAAAAATGTCGAAAATGTTATTCAAAATCAGTTCTAGATAGAGTAGAGGCCATGTGCTCAATAAACGCGCACATAATCCATGATAACAATCACAAAGAAATGTCATTGATTGAAAGACAGAACACAAGATAGAGCACAATATTAGCAGCCTACGATGCAATTGTAGAAACAAATTCTGGTCAAGGTTAATTATATTGAAGATACGTCAATTATAACTATTGGGAAGTTTCAGTCATGGACACAAGAAAAATAGTAGTAAAAATTATTTCTCTATAGTTCTTTTCAACTTCTAAGTTAACCCCCTTAAACACTGTTGAACCATAAGAACAACACAAATCTATGTTTTGACTATTATGAAGAAAATTTATTAAGTACCAAAACCTTCAGTTGTATTTAGGTAAAGGAGTGAAAAATATGCACATCACTACTTGCATCGGTCTATCTATTGAACACTAGTTGTAAGTGCTTAAACATATAGAAAGAGCAAATGCATACTAACAATGTACATAATCACAATAATCAATCGTTTTTATCTCCATAATATACCATATTTTCTGTGTATTCTGGATTTTTCTTTTAGAGCATACCCATGAAGATGTCGCATTCTCTGGACGCCATCAGTGAGCCCCTCTGCGGGAGTAGAAATTGTACCTTCACCTTGCATAGTTTCTTGACTGACAAAATAGGCTGCATATGCCAATGCCCACTCGTCGTCTGTTATCTCCACAATATGTTCTCCAAATCATTATAAATCTTCCTAGCAAGATATTAAAGTTCCCTTCTTGCAGGAGTACACCAGGAGCTAAAATAAACAAGCACCAAATGAAACAGAGTAAAAAAGTTAAATAAAAAAAGTTCTTCCCATTCAGGAACGGCAGGAGATCCAAGGTGTTAGAAAATATCATTTACTTTGGTCAATTAACACTTGGAGTTTTCTATTTGATGTAGACACAGCAAAATATAATGATCGGTAAACAAAAATGGCATAACGATAAACCTTAACATCTACAAACACCGAATTTGAAAACATTACTCTCCTTATAAGCTAAAACACAAGAGATGAAAAAAAAAAAAATTTAAACTCAAGGAGACAAATTACAGTATAAAACAAGACTAAACTGACATTAATTACTTTTTGTCACATGTCCGAATCATTAATTAGGGAGAATATAGAAGGATTTGAATTCAAATTCACAAAACTTAGACATTACCCCACCAATTATAAATAAATTATTAAATTCAAACCCAAGTTCAAAATCAAAAAACAAAATGTCGAATTTGCAATACAGTCATTCAGGCACCAAAACGTTCGTTTTTCAATTCAAATTTCTAGAACTCAAAGTTGAGGAGCATCAAAGTTCAAGAGTATCGAGTTGAATTTAGAAGAAATACAAAGATCGAATGCAAAGATCCAAAATTCGTAAAATGAAACCCTAAAACACTCACCGAGCTGAGCTTGAAAGATTGAAAAGCGGAGAAGCTGAGTAGAGATGACGATGATACAGATGAGGTGCGCATTTGCAGATCCAAATGAAGTCAGAGAGAGGAAGAGAGATCCACAAGTGCACTACCAGATTCAGAGACGGAAGCAAGTGACGAGATAGAGAAGATGGAGAGTGGATTTGGAGAGGAAAAAAAAAAAAAAGCGTTTTTAGAGAGAGAGAGAGAGAGAGAACGAAACGGTCTGGAGAGCTATTCAAACATAAAGGGGCGGAAATGAAGTTTTCAAACCCTATGCTTAAACATCGAGCATCTCTGTGCCCACGGACGGCTCTGATCATTACAGGTGAAAATCTGATCCGTCCATTTTAAGTGCTGTTTGGGTTCTTTTTTCAAAAGTTCCAACGGCCAAATTAATTTTTTTTTTTCCTTTTTCCTTTTTTCTTTTGTTTTTTTTTTCTTCAATTTATAATCAATTTCAGAATTTTTTTTTGGACGATTTTAATAATCAGTTTAATATATTTAAAATTTTATTTCCAGATTACTAGTTATAAAAATTAACTTAAAATTATAAAATAAAAAGAATTTATTAGGTCAGGATTATGTTAATTTAATGTGATTCATTTCAAGCCAGCTAAAGAAAAAATCAACACCTGATCATTATCTTTTTTTACTAACAAATATCATTATAACAACACCTAAATTATTAAGTAATTTTAAATTTGTGTAATTAAATAATAATATAATGATACTAATGGTACGTCGTTGGAGAAAGATATAATTATTGATGCGAGATTAATAAATCTTTCAATTTTTGGTAACTTTTTATTTATATTTATTTGTTTGTTTTAAATTGGAGATTGATGTTGAAGACTTTAATTAATTGTCATAATTCTTCCAAATTAGATTCCAACCTCAATTCACAAATATATAATCTTATATTTATGTATTATCGTTTACATTCTTATTATTATTATTTTTTTTTACAAATAATTATACTTAAACATCCACAATAACGTTACAGAAAAATAAATAATTTTAAAAAATAAAATAAAAGGCATGAAATGTAGTCATACATTATAAAGTGGTACGATTTAATTTGAACAAAATATTTAAGTAGGTGAAATATGTTCATAACAAATGAATATATATATATATATATGAATAACTATGGATTAGCTATAATATAGATTTAGTCTATGCTTTATTTATTCTTATTTGAATTAATAATATCTGCCTGACATCAGAAATAATATTTAATTTATATTTAAATTAATCAAAAATTAATATATATTAATAAATTTAACACGTAATATCTAAAAAATAATAAAAAATAACTAAATCAAAAATATATTAAGAGAAAGATTAAACTATTTTTTTAATCAGTAAGTTACAGAAAGACTAAAAAACATGGTACTGTCTTTATCTTCAAACACGATTTTAACTTATCTTGCTAGCCCAAACAGAGAGAAGAGGAACTGCAATCCATCTCCCAGTAAAAAAAACTATTTGTCGAGGTTCTCGTGCAAAACTGGAATCAAAATCCTCTGTTACTCTCACACCGCTCCAATCTTATGAACTTTATTTGGGCGACCACTTGCACCATGGTTTTCTCTACTCCACCCTTGTTTGCCGCCTCTATTGTACTTTCCTCCCCTGAAGAGCAAGTAATAAACAAACTGTTACTAGACACTAGTGAAGAGACAATTTTATACGTACAAGCATTAAACTGACCTTCCTCTGTAGCCCTTGCCTCTATATTCCCTGTGTTTATCTTGGTTACCACCTCGGAATAAGCTCCAATACTCCCTTTCAGCCTCACCTGATGACAAATTACATAACAAGGATCAGCTCCCTATCCCTGCTAAGTCTAATGAAGGATAAACAAAGGTGGTGGATTAAAGAAATTTCGGCATGGAACTTGAAACAAGTAAAGATTGTGTACCAGTCACTGGTTCTAAGGTAGCAATGAAATTTTTCACTATCAGACCACCTTCTTTAGCTAGGACTGCAGCTGCACGAGCTTTTTGGGATGCCTCAGGCTCTTCAAACCGGACATATCCAGATTCTTCTCCGATCCTGAAATCAATGAACTTCACAAGAGAGAAGATCATTGGAGAATGTCAGAATAACATTGGGAAAAAGACTATGAATTTGGGAAATAATGAAGGCATCTCAAGGAGTCAGGAGACAGCAACAGGTAGGCAAACTAACTTATTTCCTTAAAAGCATCAAGCATATACAAAAGCAAACTCAAGAGTTAACCCAGTAATAAAAGTGACTTACCCAAATCACTACCTCTGCCCATCCCACAAAATATATAGGAACTCAATAAAACAAAAAATTGAGAGAATGGTTCACGGAAGCAATGTGAGAGTAAAGCATATAAGAAAGACAAAAACACCAAAGCATTAAGAAAACATCACTGTACCTTCACATTTCCAAATTTCTGAAAGATTTCCTTCAAATCCTCTCGCAAAACAACATTCTCATCATTTTTATAGGCAGCAGCTGTTGATTTTTCTTCCTTATTTTCATATTTTTTATGTGTGACTTCAGAGGGCTTCTCACTATCATCGGTATCTTCTGCTTTGTCTTCTGAGGCACCTTCCTCATCAGCCTTTTCTTGATTAACCTTTCCTGGCTCCCCCAATTCACTTTCCTCGGCAGCATTCTCTGAGGAATGTATCTCCCCGTCTACTTTTTGAGCATTTACAGTATCATTATTTTGGTCCTCCTCTAGAGAATCTCCACCAGACAAGTTCTTCAATGTAAATGCAACAATTAAGCCCTTCGGATAGCTGTAAATATTGAGTAAAATCAGATCCAAAACATTATGAAGCTGTGAAATTTAAGACATCACTCATCATGTTGGATTCTTACTTTGCTTCAGCTTCAGAACTGTTCTTATTACTAGCACCTGTTTGTGAACGAGAATTGCCAAATTTCTCTGCATCTTTTACTCGTTCTGCATCAAAATCCTTTCTGAATTGGAAAAAAAGAAGTGATGTCTTAGAAGACATGCAAAGTATTACTTCTTACCAATAAAGAAGATAAGAGAGAGATGACACAGCAGATGAAATAACAAGTTATACACCATTGTACAATATCTTCTTGCCTTCCATGTTTTATTTTATTGAGCGGTGAACAAAGTTATCTATACCAAAGAAACAAAAGCAGCTTTTCAAACAAAATAAGGGTGGAATATTCAAAACCAACAGCCAATAAAAGTCAAAACAGAAGAAAACCATCAGTACATATTTGCTAAAAAACTTTTAAGTCTGAAGGGCACACATACATAAAAAGGAAAAAAGAGAAAAGTGACACCAGAGAGAGATTAAGAAAATGCCCATCAATTGATCCGGGAAATTATGAACCTTTTGTATCTTCCATAACAAGATACAATTCAATAGGTTTTCTTTCTGAATCTTGACTTTAGAAAGGAGAAAACAAGGTCTTTCCATCAAACCAAAAAAATGTCATAAACACTCTATGGTCCCCACTGATGAAGGTCTCAAACGTTAGGAAACAAGTACAATCTAGAAGGTAGTACCATCTGGTTAAACCAGACGAACAAATATGGCTTACTTTGACTTTAGCTCCAGCTCAATTCCACCATAAACCAAGTTTTGCTTCAAGACCTTTTCAGCATCTTCCTCAGTTGAGAATTCAATCAAAGCAGTTCCAGAGAATAACCTTCTGTCTGCCACATGACGAGGCAACCTCACACTGTTTACCTGGAAAAATACAAGTGCATAAATATATATAGAAAGAACAATGATCCTAAAATATTCTATCATGTCATGCAAACAGAAAAGAAGTGCGCAAAATAGCATATACTATTACCAAAATCTGTTTCTCATAAAGGAACACAAAAAATTGACTTTTTGACTGCACTAAAACATGCAGAAGAATAACCCCAACTATAGTCATTGAAATATGAAAGATCCAGTACCTTCCCATACTGAGTGAAAAAGGATTCTATATCTTCCCGCTTAATATTATACTCAAGTGGTGCTGCAGCAATTGTTCTTGTATCCAATTGCTCTATCAAGTCATCCACCTTTAACAACTCCGAGCTCCTACCAACTTTCTTCCCTGCAACATCCGAACCAAAACAAAAATAT